AGAGGTAATGATAAAAACAGATGCAATTATAAACTGCACATCCATCAATCTTGTTTTAACCTTAAATTTCAGCATAAGCGGTCAATATTATTTGAAAAAAAAAAAAAAAAAAGATAAGGCTTTATTTTCAGAGTGCTCAACTTATTTACAAATAGTAACTGCACAACAGTTTTTGGAGAAAACAAAAAGTAACTTTCACCATTTTACTATCCTTTATTTCTTTGTTTTTTCCTGCAAAATAAACTCTACCACACTTCCTAAACATATTGGCAGCAGTTGAATTCAAATTAATTTTTGCCAAATATTACTTTCTTTAAAAAGCGTCAAAAAAAAAAAAAAGAATTTACTAAAGTGTACTAAAATGAGAAAAAGTGAGGAAGACTGTAGGTTATTAAAAATAAGTAAAGAATCTGTTCTAAATGTACAATTAAAATCAATACAAGTAAAAAAAAAATTTCTTCTTTAATTCAGATATCTGTTTGAACATTTTGGAGCACATATAAGAGTTTAACGCAATAAACTTGAAAACGGAACTGAACTTCAACAGGACTGATTCAACTGTACAATTATTGGTCTAAAGTTTAGTTTTTGAGCAAAGTATTATTAAGCTGTTGTTAACCAATTCTGTAGTTTTCAAAAGAAAATAAAAACTACAGTTTTTGCTTTTGGCATAATGCCAAGATAACGTGACTGTCTCTTGAGGCCTGTTATGCACGTCATAAAATTTACAACCGATACTTCTCTGTAGTTTACTGAATCGCATAGGTTCTATTTGTAACTTGCAACTGGCATGCTGCAACGTGTGTTTTGTATAACAGTTATTTTTACTGATGCTTAGGATTCTTGTGCGACGCACTCGACTGATTTCATTGATAGCTCTTCAAACCTTTGTATGTTATAGTCGATGTTTGTTTTATATGAATATTCAAAAACCCGTTTTTTCGACATTAAAGGCATCACTCTCTTTTTTTTTGTCTTTTTTATTTTATTTCTCTTTGTTTTTTTCTGTTCCGAGTGTACGGTACGTTAGGCATGTTGTGGAAATCTTCACTTTTGGCTGGTACACTAAAGGTCCAGTCTTTTAAGCTTATGGAAACTGTGGCTGACGTTACTCCGCTGGTAGCTGAACCCTCAACTTCGGATGCCGCAAAAAATCGCTTTGTTGTGCCAGGCGATCGTTTATTACCAATTTCTGATCAAATTAGAGCTGCAGCTGGTACTTATGAAATGTATGGATACGTGTATGCATCGCTTGCTGGCACTGTTTGTACCTACCGGGTCAAAGAGGTATTGGCTTTTTCAGCCTTGGTAATTTTCGTGATGTAAAGGTACTGGTTGGAGGTTTTATCTGTAAGTTGTAGAAACTTGCAACATGTATATATTTTTTTAAATTTACTTATTCTACTTTTTTTTTCTTTAGCTTTCTCACCACAAGATTTTTTGATTGCTTTCCTCTTTATTTCTTTTGTAGGGGTCTTCTGTTTCATTCTTTACAGTCACTACATTTTCAGAAGAGTTTGTGATCATTTTTTCTTCTGTTCATTGTTAAAATGTACTTTTTGATGATACATATTTTTGCCGCATAGCATTTGGGATGTCAACCTGGTTTAAGGGATGTACGTGTGTTGTTCTACTCTGAAAATCCATTAGAGAAGGCTACGAGGCTTTAACATATACTGTTTAGACCAGAGTAGGAATAGATTCTAAAAAAACTGCTTCGAATTTAGTGCATGAGTATAACTTTTGCAGAAAGAAATTCTCAAATAACTGTTTTTCATTGCAAACTAAATGAAGGAGAGGTTAAAGAAGTTAACCGTGTACTGAGACAACTGGATGCTTTAGTTAATATGTCAATGCTGATTCAGTTTATGCTTGATCGTTTTTTTCTCTTAAGGTGCCTCCTCAAGAAATAACATAGCTTTTGCAATGCCAAGCGGTTGACACCGTCCTCTTCATCTTTTACAGTTCTGGAAAAATTAATATATTCATTGATTTTCATGACTTTAATTTTACAGTGCTTTTTTGTATCTTCTACTGTACTGCAGTAGCACATTGTAAATAGCCACGTACTGTAATAATTTCATAACTTTGGCATCGAGACCCAAAAAGCTTTGCTTTTAGAAATTTTTTTGCCTGTGAGTCTGCTGTTTTTTGATGATTTCTTTGTCGCCCTGAAAATGGCTGCTTAATGACAACGTTTTTGCTGTTTTTATTGAACACAGTCATTATATATTTTAGTTAAACTAGAAAACATTTAGTAGATGGAAAATATATACGCACGTACCCGTATAAATATGGGAGAGACATTTAGCTGCTTTGTGCATGACCTTTCAGGGTATTCTAATCCGAATGCATCGGTTTTTCAGTACTGTCTATTTAGATTGTTTAGTGCATGAAGTGGTAATATGAAAAGAAGCACCATTT